AACTGGCTGCCACATACAACTGGCGGATGTTCGATTTTGACAACGCAGTACAGTACGTTAAACAACTTCTGACAAGTTTTATATATAAGGTACAGCGAATTTTAGATACGTATGCAGCAAACCAGATGCTGTAAACAGCATCTAACTCAAAAGGCTTATATAAGATTCAACAGGACCAAGATGCATAATACATGTACGTTTGAGAAGAAAATATACAACTTTTGGTGGTTTTCACAAGCTTCTACTAAACTTTGTTAGTCTGACCAAGCAAGAGACTATAAATTTCGAAATTATGAAAATTTTCTCCTGATGCAGTTCGATGATATTCATATGCAAAGAGAAATTTTATTTTTAAGGATTTCCATTTACTAACTGACTAAACAGTTATTGTTGCGCGTCAAAGATCGACAAGCGATTGATTGATTCAACTTTACATTGAATGCTCAAATTTTCTCCTGATGCAGTTCGATGATACTCAGTTCCAAAGAGCAATTTTATTTTTAAGGATTTCCATTTACTAACTGTCTAAACAGTTGTTGTTGCAGGTTAAAGAACAACAAGCGATTGATTGATTCAACTTTACATTGAATGCTCAAATTTTCTCCTGATGCAGTTCGATGATACTCAGTTCCAAAGAGCAATTTTATTTTTAAGGATTTCCATTTACTAACTGTCTAAACAGTTGTTGTTGCGCGTCAAAGATCAACAAGCGATTGATTGATTCAACTTTACATTGAATGCTCAAATCGCACATACGTTTGAAGTGCTCTTTTATTATTTGTTTACCACTGCACATACTTATACGTATAAATAATAAAAGAGAATTGTTGATGGCAAGATAAAAATGATTCATCGAACGGATTGCTTATTTTAATTAAAGCTAGAGCCGCGTATTCCAATGATAGAACGGACAAAATTAGAATATAACTTTGTGTTTCCATTGTGTAGTCGCTCTGTTAAGAGCATGTAAATCGTTCATTGTGAAAGAAAATGCATTCCGGGCACATAGACTTTTGTTGCAGCGCACATCAGTGGAACAGTCCTGGCGAGCAACAAAACAAAACAAAGGGAAGCAACATAAAGGAAACATAATTAAAAAGAAAGACTGAAATAAAACAATTCGGCTTCGACTTTTCACACTAAAAGCTTTCTTCTTGCTCCTCTTCTTATTCTTGGCCTGTTTTGTACAAAAGACGGCATAAAATACTTAAACGCGTTCCCACAAAAATCTTTCTTTGAGTGAATGTCATGCCATGTATACCGACTCAAAGGATTAGCTTAGTTTTAGTAAACCAGTGACTTAAAAAACAGTAGATAAAAGAAGAAATGTTTTTCCAAAACCCTTTAGCTTTTCCTATCTCTCTCGCCAATTAATAATACGAACAAATTCCATTAGTATATGAAGGAGACATTTAGAACAATTAGCTTAACTTCTCATGCGTCAAAAATCTTAACTATAATTGTACAGAGGATGGAAAAAAGGTCGGAATAACTATTAAGGGAAGATCAATTTGGGTTTAGAAGAAATAGAGGAACGCGGGAGGTCATTCTAGTTTTACCGGTAACAATAGAAATAGCAAGGAGGAGTTAGAAAATGTAAAGAACGGAAGAGGTGCTGACAAAACAGTACTATATGAAAATAAATATAAATATAAAACAAAGTTACTGGTTTGCAAGGGAGGAAAAAGTAGGGAAAGAGCGAATATAAAGACAGGAGACGAAAAATTAGAAGAAGTGATAGATTTTAGGTGTCTACGAAGTCAGATAAGTCAGGACGGAATGAGTAGTAGGGATATAAAGCACAGGAAAGCGCAGGGTCGAGTCGCCTTTAATAAAAAAGGGTCACTTCTATGATTGCGAACGATTAATTTACAAATTCGAAAAAGATTGTTAAAGGTGTATGTTTGCAACGCGGCGCTGTACGGGTGCGAAACATTGACGGTGGGCGTGCCGGAAGTGAAAAGGTTAGAAACGTTCGAAATATGGTGTTACAGGCGAATGATGAGAATACCGTGGATAGAGAACGTTAGAAATGAAGAGGTATTAGAAAAAATAGGAAAACAGAGGACTCTATGGAAGTCTGTAAGAAATAGGCGAGATAGGTTGATAGGACACCTTCTCAGGCATGAAGTTCTAGTCAGAAGAGGCAGAAACGGAGGGGTAGAGGTAGACCTAGATTAGATTACTGTTCACAAATAGTTAAGGATATGAGTTGTTCTAGTTTTAGGAAATGCGAAGATTACCTGAGGATAAGAAAGAGTGGAGGTGCGTGTCCACCAGTCTTAGGACTGCCGATCTTATGATGATGATACTTTGAAAATAATAATTTAGTCGAAAACATTTTCTCTAAACGATATTTGAAATCAGCAGCTATCTATTTAGGTCAGCTTATTCTTCAGTTCAGCTGTACATATATAAGTACACTAAAAGAGCAGAAATATAGGGAATGTAAGCGAGATTAAATTCGAAATCCCCTTTTTGTATTACAAGGAATGCTAAAAACCAAACTCTTCAGAAAATGAACTGGGTCAAACACCATCTTTTGCTTTCCGGCGATCTGTATCGCTAGCGTTTTACAAGAGCACTCCTCCACTTCAGCTAAAAAAGAAGGAAATGCAAGGAACAAATTTGTATGGGAATACAAAAAAAATCGGTAAATCGATATCCTACAAGACCTTGTAATATTATACACTCAACGATTTTAAGGAAATAGATATCCACGTGATTTACTATCAACTTTAATGTTAAGTTAAGAATATACCTACCTATTTTTGCATTAATAAAGTCAGCTGTACTGGGAAAGAGAGGTCATAAACGTTAACCATTTATCTCTATTATGCCGTCAAAGGCTTCTGTTTAAAGAAAATGCAAAATCTCCCCCGTTTTCCACTTTTAAGTAAGTAACGGCTGATTGACCCTTACCAAATCGACCCATAGGGATCATCAACATCCCTTCCATAGACACATTTACGACACCGTTTCGTTTATCCGTTCCTACCCCTACGTTTATAAAAGAATCAAAGGACCGACTTTTCCCTTTATCTGGCAGCAAAACATAAACGATACTCACAAAAGATAAAAAGGGAAAATAACTTTAGCCATTAACTAATGGATATAATTTAGAATTAAAATATTCTTAACTCAATCTCAATTAATAAATTGTTAATGTTTAAATGCAATTATTAAAGCACCTAGGGAGTCAAAGTTTGTTTTGAACTGGTGGCGTGGCGATAAAGCGCCACCTGGTTGTTATTTATTGATTGTATCGAATGTGAATTCTATTAAAAGATTCATAGATATATTTGGGAATATACATAATTAGGTAGTTATTAATGATCCTTCAACTATTAGGACTACATACTATTATATTTTATTTATGTATGTAGTATGAGAGAAGAAAACAGCTCTGAAATTTTAGAATAATTTAGCATATGGTCATGAAACGTTGAAAATTATTTCTCCATTAGAAGTAATAAATATTTTCGCAGAGACAGTTCGGTATCTAATTGCCTGCATTTTCCACGTTGCAGAAAGGAAATGTAGATTTATTACACCCACTTCGATATCAATTCTCTCTTGAACGCAGAGTAAACGTTATTTAATGCACTATAACGTTTAAATTATCATTTTCCAATACGATAACAATGGCTTACTTACAATTTTCGAAAATATTTTGTTCTCCCGTTTGACCTAACAGCATATGTTAAGAAAATAAATGTCTGTTTCTGATAAGTGCGAGTTAAATTGTAATAAAAAATTTATTAAAGCAACCAGCACTTCCACATCCGATAATAACATCCCTCCCAAGTAAATAAAACATTAAAAACAATGTGTAGAAATGTGTTCAAAACAGGAACAAAAAGTGTTCGTAGAATCTGCTATTGTGGAAGGAAAACAATTCTAATAATAACTAGCAAATGGTGTACGCCCCATACAGTCAAATGCATTCGTAGTAACCTTTATTAAAAGCTCAAAAGTGTATACATATAGTAAGTATCAGTACAGAAACAGCATTGTGCTAGTCGATATAAAAATCCAACATTAATTGAATTTCTGGCGATACAGAAAATAATAATTTTGAGTAGAAAGAAAAACATTTTTAACCTTAAATGGAAGTTGAAAAATAATAATCTTAAAATTTTTGAAAGCAAACTTAGTCAAGCAGGGTATATCTATTTCTGACTTTACCCTAATCCTCTATAACATAACCTAACCTAATCATTTTAAGCCGTGCCCAGGATTTTGGGCACATATCCAATGTGTAACCTTTAGGCAAAAATGGAAG